CTTTTCCTCCCACTCTCCACCCTTGCTTCAAGATTTGCCAGCACAAAACACTGAGGACTAGCAGCCCAATTGAAAGAGGTCATGCTTTCAAGCAACAGAAAAAGCTCCTCCTCGTCTTCTCCTCACCCTCCCCTTCCACCTTCCCCTTTTCCTCCTTTTCCCTCCTTCTCCCTCCTTCTCTCCTCTTCCTCCTCGTTCACCATTTCATCCCTCCCTCCTTCTCTCCCTCCTTTTCCTCCTTCCCCCTTTCCCTCCTTCTCCCTCCTTCTCTCCTCTTCCTCCTCGTTCACCTTTTCCTCCCTCCCTTCTTCTCTCCTCCTCCTCCTTTTCCTCCTTTCCCTTTTCCCTCCTTCTCTCCTCTTCCTCCTCATTCACCTTTTCCTCCCTCCCTCCTTCTCTCCTCCTCCTTTTCCTCCTTCCCCTTTTCCCTCCTTCTCTCCTCTTCCTCCTCGTTTACCTTTTCCTTCCTTCCTCCTTCTCTCCTCCTCCTTTTCCTCCTTTCCCTTTTCCCTCCTTCTCCCTTTTTCTCTCCTCTTCCTCCTCGTTCATCTTTTCCTTCCTCCATCCTTCTCTCCTCCTCCTCCTTTTCCTCTTTCCCCTTTTCCCTCCTTCTCCCTCCCTCTCCCTCCGTCTCTCCTCCTCCTCCTTTTCCTCCTTCCCCTTTTCCCTCCTTCTCCCGCCTTCTCTCCTCCTCCTTTTCCTCCTTCCCCTTCCCTCTTTCTCCCTCCTCCTCCCTCCTCCTCCTTCCCCTTTTCCCTCCTTCTCCTTCTCCTTTTTCCTCCTTTTCTCCGTCCTTCCCTCCCCCTTTTCCCTCCTTCTCCTCCTCTATTTCTTCCATTCTTTCCATTTCCATAACTGCCTTGCTTTGCAATGAAAATTTCCCACTGAAATCATAAGTCCGAACCCACATTCCGTCTATATCATTACTAATAGTTGGAGACACAGTAAATGTCTCTTTTCTGTACAGGGAGTCCTCGACTTATGACCACAACTAGAGCCCCGAATTTCCGTTACAGAACAAGACATTTCTTATCTCTTAAGTGAGTTCTCCCCTCCCCCTTTCACGATCTTTCTCACCACAGGGGCTAAGTGAATCCGTTAACGGTTCTTAAGTTAGCCACCCGGTTGTTAAGCGAATCCGCCTTCCCCACTGTCGGAAGATCACAGAAGGGAATCCTGCGACCTTGCTAAAAGCGAGTCGGTTTCCGTCCACGGGCGTTTTAAATCCGTGACCACGGAGGATGCTGCCTACGGGTCATAAGTGTGAAACGCAGGCCCTTGGCCACTTCGTTGGCTGCTGTGGCAAACTTTGGAGTGGTCGCTTAAAGGGATTGTCGTAAGTCGAGGCCCGCCTGCACACTCTCTGTGTGAATTGCAGTTGCTTGCCGGAGGAAGGAAGAAGGGGGGTGAAGAGGGAAGAGGGAGGGCCGTGACTCATAGCAAAAGAGATGGGAAAAACAATAGAATCCCAGAATGTTTTTGATCTCTGCGAAAGCTGCAGGCCTTTGGCAAACTCGTAACTCTTCATATTTGGGTATCTCCAGCTCTGCATTCCTTTGCAGCGACATGAAAGAGGGAGAGAGAGAAGGAGAAAGGGAGGGAGGGAAGGAGGGGGAGTAAGAGAGATCTTTGGCTACTGTGTAGATGGGCTCAGCTGCCCCAGCCAGAGGAGAGGAATGTTGGCTTGATTCTAACCCACGTTTCCAGGGTCCCCGGGGGGCAGATTCCCCTCGGCTGAGCTGACCTCTTAAACTCCGGGTTGGAAGTTCTGTTCCGAAATCCTCCCTGGGATCTTTCGGAGGGGGATCTCCGCGGAGAGAAAATAAAACTTGGGGCTCTTTTCATTCGAGGTCCCTCCTTCATCCTCTCGTGATGCTTTTTCACAGGTGCCAATTTTTAATCAGGCCGTTGTGACAGGGAGGTTAATAGAAACTCACTGTTTCCTCCCTCTCTTCTCTTTTCCTCCCTTCCTCCCTCTCTTCCTCCCTCCCTCCCTTCCCTCCTCCTTCCTTTCTTCCTTCCTCCATTTTTCCTCCCTCCCTTCCCTTCTCCTTCCTTCCTTACTTCCTCCCTTTTTCCTCCCTCCCTCCCTTCCCTC